TCTTACTAATATCAGGTGTGACTGTAGTCCTCCTCATCCTCCCCGTCCTGCTGCTGCTTTTGCTCTGCCTCTGCCTCTGCCGCTGCTCACCGAGCCGCTCTTCCTCGTGACCCGACCGTGCCGCTGCTGCTCCTTCCTTCCTCCTTCCCCCCCGTCCTCCCCCTTGTCCTCCCCCCTTGTCCTCCCCCTTGTCCTCCCCCTTGTCCTCCCCCGTCCTCGGTCCTCGGTCCTCCCCACTGCTCCTCATTCCTCCTCGGTCCTCCTCCTCAGTCCACTCGTCCCCGCCCTCCTCGTCCTCGTCCTCCTCCTCCTCCTCGAGATCCTCGCCCTCGCCCTCGTCCTCGAGAGTCTCCTCCTCGTCCCCGCCCACCCCAGCCCGCCCTCTCCTCCTCGTCCTCGAGATCCGCCCGCTCGTCCTGCCAGTGCCGCCGCTCCTCCCCCCGCGTGCCTGCTGCTCCTCCCGCGCCGCCTTGGTCCTCCCCCGTCCCGGCTCGCCGTCGCCCGTCGCGCTCTCCCTCCCGCCTGCTCCCGCCCCCCGCTGCTCCTCACTCGGGGGCACTCGGGGGCGACACCTGGGGGGGTGACACCATGAGTCGACGGAGGAGAAAACGGCGTAAACGCAAACTCTCGCCTGCTCTTCATTTGCGTTCATCCTCCTCTACATCTCCTTCCAGTGCCAGTTGTGCACGGCTCCTTCGTCAGTTATGACTTTGTCAGTTGACCATTCCCATTCCCATTCCCCCGCTGCTCCTCACTCGGGGGCGGCACCTGGGGGGGGGACACCACGAGTCGACGAAGGAGAAAACGGCGTGAACGCAAGCTTTCGGCGCTCCGCGCGGATTTCTCTGGTCGGCGCGTGGGGCCCCCTGGCGACGCCTCCTGCGTCGCCCTTTTGCGCCCTGCGCGCGCCAGGGAGGGGGCCCCAGCTCAGATCCAAGAAACCCGCTCGGACCGTCGAAAGTTTATGTTAGTGCCGTTTTCTGTTCCTTTATTCCCTCCTGCTCCTCCTGCCCCCGCTGCTCCTCACTCGGGGGCAACATTGGGTGGATGACACTCTTAAGCATAATACATCCCCGGACTCTGTCTGGCACATCTACAAACAAAGACCCTATCCCGAATGTTTCTGGCCCTCCGAGGTTAGGTCCCCTCCCAAAGGATTGGGTTTACTGACTTGCTTCTCATGACAGGCTCATGGGGGAACGCAACGATCCCCCATTGCCCATTGAACGCCGATGGGGGCCCGATAGCCTACCCCGCTTTGGACCGTGCGGACTCGCTAGCGGAGGCCTGTCGCCGATCTATCGGCCATGTGTCGCCGGTTTGAGCTCGATGAATCCCCCCTGAGCTTGTCCCCTCCCAAGGTTGCTCCTCAACGGGGCGGGGGGCAGGTGGCAGCGCCTCCAACGTCGCCTCGTGCCTGGGCAAGGTCGCTGGGGGCGTGGACGTCTGCGACCTGGACAGCGACACGCCTCTCCACGCGGGGAGGGGGGGGCAGGATCTGTCCATCGTCTTCTTGCTCGTCCTCTCTCTCTCTCTCCTGCTGGCCCGCCATCCGCCTGCTCGCTCCTGTTGCCCTCGGCTGTCCCGCCACCTTGCCGCTCTCCTCCGCCTCTGTTCGCCCGCCTCGGGCGCTCCCGCCGTGCCGCGGCGGCCGTGGGGTCGGCGAGGAGTGGACGCCCGCTCGGGCGCGAGGGGCAGGAGGGGCAGGACCCGTCCGCGCGTCTCCGCCGTCCCCGTCCAGAGACCAAGCGGCAGCAGCAGCAGCAGCAGTCCTCTCGGACGGAGGCCCGGCCCTCCCCCAGCGCTCCGCTGGCCCTCCCTGGGCCTGCTGGAGGCTTTTCGTCGCCACGGCTGGATCCGCCTCGGAGGACGGGGCGTCGGGGATGGACACCGCCCGGGACGGGTCGGGGGATGGATTCTGAGCGGCTTCGGGCGGGGCAGGAGAGCCGCCGTTGTTCAGCAGCTCGTTTTGGGGGGGGCTCCCTGGGCTCACCTGGCGGATACACGTTCGATTCTAGCCTGATTCAGGTGCGGTTCCAGTTCGTTCCAAGTTCGGCCCGAGATCGACGCAGCATCGACGCGGGAGTGCAGCGAGTGGCTCCAGGAAGGTCACCAGAATGAGCATCGAATCAGCCTTTCCTGGCGCACCCCGCCGCGGCACCCGCTGCCGCTGCCGCTGGCTGGCGGCGGGGCCATGCAGGCTCGCGGGGGTATTGCGCCCTTCACGGGCAACGTCAGGGGCCAGGCTCAGTGGCGGACGCGCCGACCCCCTCAGTCGCCCGTTCATGGCCGAGAAGCGAAACCGCCCAGAAACGTGCCGACTCGCTGGTGTGAGGGGCCTGCCGCAGACTGGTCGGCACGCGCGCGCCTAACATTGTGCTGTTGGTCGGTCGCGGTTGCCATGTGCCGTTGCTCGCAGTGCAAAGTTGCGCGCGGCATTTGTAGCAGACGCGGGTGCACTTGCCGTGCACGCACGCCGCTGCCCCCTCGACGCGTCGCATCGACTCGTCCCGGGCGGCCGAGACTCCGATATGCGTACCGGCACGCGGCGCTTGCGTTTATTTTCGGGCCCCGAAGCCCTCACATTTCGATCCGGCTTGAGGAATGCAGGAAAAAGACGGGGGCCCAGGGCTCGGGCCATAATTTGTCACGAGTTTGCATTTTTTCCCCGACGTCGGATCTCAAGGATGACTAGTCAGGCTTCGGGCTGCGCAAAAACAGCCCCCCAGGTTATCCCAGCTGACCTCGACAGCCTCAACCCTGGGGCGCGGAGCGCCCCGAGGGCGCCGCCGCAAGCGGCGCCAGGGTGCTGAGAGCGTCCCGGACTGCTCGGGGAGCCTGTTGAGGACAGCTGGGGCTACTTCGGGGGTCTGATGAGGCCAGCCAGGGCTGCCTGGGAAGGCGCCGTGTTACTTCGTTGTTGTTGTCCGATGGCATTGTGCTTCTTCGGCCGCAGCGCGTTGATGGTTTCCTACGGCAGCGTGACACTGATCGTGTTGTTGCTTGCTGCTCCCCCAATCAAGCAGTGGCGAAGCGCCATGGTTTGCCCATAAACCCACCATCGAATGTTCTAATATCCGTTTCTGGTCTGCACGAAATGTTTTTAGAACATCTCTGATTGAGACTGTCTTGTTTTAACACATTGGTTTATGTCCTAAGAACATTGTTTGTGATAATTCTTGGGTTCTAAGAACATTTCGTGGTAGGCCTATAGGAATGCCGGGACGGTCGGTCCCTGCTCAACCCAAAGCGCCATGCGAGTCAGGCGATATTGTGGACAGTCCAGCCGCCGAAGCAAGATGCAGTTTGGTTTCGGAAGGGGCTCGCTGTTCCTCACAACCCTTTTTTCACGGCTGTTTCTCCATCGCTCTTCGTTCGGGTATAGCCAGGACCCCAGGTAAGAGGACCAGGTTAGTAGTAGGGCCCCTGAGCCTTTAAATTTGCCAGAATCACTAAACCAGGTCTGCCGAAGCTGGTGTTTTTTCGGGTGACGGTAGTTCCGGTTAGTGGAACGGGGCGGGGGGGCATCCCCCAGTACACATCACTAAACCAGGTCCCAATGAACCCAGTTCTGCCAACGCCCGACCCCGTGCACCCCAGGCGCATCTTGGGGCCAAAAAGGGGTATCATTTTTTATTTGGCGTTCTTTGTGGTAGCAGTGTGGCTGCGACGACCGAAAAGTTTCGGAGCTCCGCGGGGATCTGTTGGATCGACGCCGGACCTTCCCCCCGTTGGACGCGCCAGGAGCGCGCCGGGAGCGGCGCCGGGGGCGCCGCCGGGGGAACTCCAGCGCCCATCAAGAAGCTCACGCGGAGCTCAATAATTGGGCCTGACGAAAGGGGGGGATAGGGAAAGGGGAGGTTACGAAATTTGCTGCATGCAGCTGGTTTCGGCCCCACCGAGGGGCCCATTCCTCGATACATGGCCGCCTCTGGCGCTGGGAGGCGCCGGGAAAATCAGCGACGTGAGCTGATTCTCACCCCCCCCCTTTGCTATCCTCCCCTTTCGCCCAGCCCGAAAGAAGCTATTGCTGATGCAGCATTGCTCACTCTAGCCGAGAAGCCCATCAAAAGCTACAGCCGAAGCTCATAGTGAGGGCGCACGGATGTCCTCAGGGTGCCCTTGCGTCTTTGCCTCTGCGGCCCGTCCTTCGCGGTTTTCACTGGTCAGCCTTTCAGGGTGTTGGCAGTCCCCCGCTCAAAAAAAGTACCAACTTCGGCGTCCACGGCCCTGGCGTCCTTACCGTGCAGCCGTACTACAGATTTTGTCTGTAACCCCGCATTGCGCATCGCTCAAAGGAGAAGCAGAGACCACCGCCACGGAGAACCCCTTGGGGGAGGCTGACCCCTGGGCGGTAGCACGCCTGGCCTGAGCGTCACCCAGTGCCAGACGTCGCTCAGGCCTGCCACCGCCCAAGGGTGGTTCCCTTCTGATGGAATCTCGGCGGAGGTGGTCCCTCTTTCTCCTCTGGATCGTGGGACGCGGTGCAGGTTGTTTGAGGGCCCGGATAATTTGACTGCGACGTTGTTACGAACCCCCGATGAGGCTTCCTCCGCAGCCTCGTGGACCTCCGAACCCAGGAATCCAGCGCGGAGACCCTCGAGCACTCATGCTTGCCTTTGCTTGTTCCTCGATCTTGCGTCTCGATGGAGGGGGAGGGAATACAGTGGAGAACCATGCCAAGAAATACCCTGCTTGCCTCCAGGGTGCCCTGGGTTTCTGGGTTTACAAGGGTTTTGCTATGGAAAGCGTGACGTTCCCACACTAACAATCAATGGACGTCCTGGGGTCTCAGAGTTAGATTTCTTGTGGAAGGTTTCTTGTGGACTGACCTCCACTGTAGCAAAGAAACAAATAATGCTGACGTCTGCTAGTCTTCGTGCAGCTGGTTCCAGCTCCGCCGCACATCGGCGCCGGGAGGAGCTGGGAGAATCAGCCACGTCAGCCGATTCGCTCTCGACTTCCCGTTGCCAGACCCTCCCCTCTCCCCCAATCCGCCTCGCCCTGGTGCGCTGCCCGACGCGGGGCTCCTCCTCCTCCTCCTCCTCCTCCTCCGCCGCCTCCGCCTCCTCCGCCTCCTCCGCCTCCTCCTCTGCCCACCTGCGGGCGTGCTCCAGTCGGAGGAGGGCGCGTTGAGACCAAGGGCCGCCTTTTTGGCCCTCGGGGGGGGGGGGCCTTTGCCGCCACTGCTGGGCTCGGAGAGCGGGCGCGTTGGGATCCCAGGAAAGGTCCGGGGGCAGATTCTTAGTGTGAAGTCGGGCGTGTCCCTTTACAGGAGGAATATTCAAAAATCGACGGGGACGATGTGTTGACTCTGTTTTTAGCTACGTTTGTTTTGTTTTTGAAACTATTTCTTAATGTTCGCCCCAAATCCGCCTGTAGGAGGACATGCCCGACCTAATTTTACCAGATTTGGGCCGCCGTTGTCTCACCGCCGTGGCGGGGGTTGCTAAAGGTGCCCCTGGCCCAAGGTGCCCCCAGCTTCCCGCTCCACTCTGGAGGCTCTGGGGCCATCTGGGCCTCGCGAGGGGTGCTCTGGAGGCCGTGGGGGCCTCCTCGGAAATCCTTTGGGCACCTTGGGCCAGGGGCACTTCTAGCAACCCCCGATTCTCGTCGTGCCGACCCCGGCGTTGGCTCCTGACACCGCGGGGATCTTTCAGCCTTGAACGATCGGCGCTCAACGTTGAACGCCGGCGGCGGGGTCGCCACCGATCGACACAACGCGAACCGACCGCTGTCTCTCGCGGCTCTCGCTACGATGGCCGGGGACAAAGACACAAGTTGGGTGGACCTTGCTACGGACATTGTACTCTGGCAGTCGTTGAAGAGCGAGCGTCGGAAAGCCGAAAATGCGAGAAGGCACAAATTCTTCAAACACCTTCGTAAAATCTACGATTTTGGCCTCTCGAGGCTCTCTCGGGTGGCCTCTTGGAGCGCTCTTGGGGCCTGTTGACGGCCCTCTGGGGCCGTCTTGGAAAACAAAACGTCTTGACTTGTTCACGGCACAGGCAATGTCTGGGTCCGCATCCTCTGGCCTTGTGGGGCAAGGGCGGCGCCAGCTCGGGGAACGAGCCGCGTGGGCCCTCTGGCGGGGGGACCCGGCGGCCGTGGCGACGAGAGGGCCCCGGGAGTCCCCGACGGGGCAAGTATAACGCCAGGGAGGCCCGCCGCTGCCTTGCCGCATCGCAGCCTCTGGCCTTGGGGGCGGATGGGGGCGGGGCGCCAGCTGAAGGCTGGGGGCGAGGCGGCGCCAGCGGAACGACGGAAGATAGTAGCGGGGTCGTCTGCACGGGTGTTGGCGCGTAAGCTGCCCGCGTGAGGTCGCGCGTAAGCGACTTTGAGCGCCGTCTTTGCGAATGTAGCGTGCCGCGCTGGCGGCCCGCGTAAGCCACCGCGTAAGGCCGCTATGCCATCCTGCGCAAGTTCGGATGCAACTCCTGGGATGTCAAATTCTGACTTGGTCGTGGCCCGAAATCCAGCTTAATCCCGCTTCAGCCCGCTCAATCCAGCTCAATCCCGCTCAATCCGCGGCCTGATCCGGCGCAGTAGCCCCCCAATGGGGGTTCAGCTCTCCCTGACAATTCTTCCGGCGAAGACCTCCTTCTTCCATCGCGTGGGCTCGCATGCTTTCGCAATCAGATAGTTGCGCTTCTACCAACGCTACGCCACTCATCTTTGGTTGAAATCGTTCATTTTTTGATTGGCGTTTTGTCGCCGAAAGCTTCGCCAGTAGAATGTCATTTCCGAGACCTACCAGCAGTTCCCCGGGGGAGCAACGCGAGGAGCCGCTTCTCGGGAGGGGGAGCGCAGGTGGCCGCCTTCGCTGGCCGCTTCGAGGCTCCGGCGCCCCTCCTCTCGGGGCCGCTGCCGCCGCCCTCCGCCGGTGTTCGCGGCCGTCCCTTCGGGCCTCCATCGTAACGGCAATTACCCCAGCGAGGCACCCGAACGTGAGAGGAGGAAAAGGTACCCATCTTTCTGCCCTTCACTCGTTCTTCCCTTTTTGGGCCTCCTCGGAGACCCTCGTCGCCACCGCTGGACTCGCCTCGAAATTCTGGTCGGAACGTACCTCGGGAGAGGTCCGGGGAGTTGCGGTATCGGTGACCTTCGGCCTCCCCAGAACAGCAGCGGAGGTGAAGAGGCGTGTCGAGGATTAGGATCCGCCGAACAAACATGTACACAGACACCCTCCAATGGATTGATTGTTCCTGGGCTTCAGGGGAGGGTGGCGGGTTATAAATCACTACTGAGCCAGCGATTTTATGCAGTGCCACTCTCCGTGAATTTTCGTGGCGTAAAAGGAGGGCTGGTGAAATCGTGCAGTCTTGGGTATTCCTGAGGAGTCTTGGGAAAAGCACGGTCGTGTGCATCTTCGTGCATATGTCTACAGGGATCGAGGCCGTCCGGGCTGATCATGTAGTCGGTATTGAGGCGAGAGCACGATTCGTGCATAAGTTATGAGTCGGTCTCAGGCGAAATGGCTGCTGGACCCGGCGGTCCAGGGCGGCCCGTCCTTTTTGGGACTATTCTGCAGTCTTTTGCTACCACGGATCGAATCTCTCAACGAAGCGCTCTGTTTCGGAATTTCGGACGGAGGTGTTTGGTGGTTTTCGGCCTCTGGGTGTCCGCGCTGGGCCCCGAGACCATCCAAATCTGGCCCTGCTGGGGTAAAGGTCAGGGCCCCCGGGACCCCGCATTAGAAACATCAGGACATCGGGTGTGTGGGACCACCGCCGCCACCTTCCGCCAGTCGTCGTCGCCGTAGTTCGTCGCCGTCGTCGGGGGCAACGTCAGGGGAGATAGGCTCGAGGATCCGCTGCTCTCCGGCAGCTGCGCCGCGCCAAGAGCGTTCGGGAGGCTGCCCGGATCGTCCCGAATCGCCTCCGGGGACCCGAGCTCTCAGACAATAGGGATCCCAGGAGGGAGAAAAAGTACACAGACACAAACAATCGTCGATCCCCAGGAAAGGATGGGAAACTATGGGAAGTGGTGGTGAAGACGACAACCCAGAAAATATGGAAAGTCCATCACCGGTGAGTGTTAGTGCGACCTCCATCCTCGAGCCTCGCTGCTGCAGTTGTTTGGGTTCGAACACGGTGCGCGCCCGCGCGCGCGCGCCGCGCCTGCCCGTGCGCGTCGCGAGGACGTCATCTCCTCTCTTTCTCCGACCTCCGGCTTCCGGGGTCGCGATCCGCCTTCGGGCGAGGGACCCCCCGCTGGCGGGGAGGAACCCGCGCGGGCGGGGCTCACGCCCTGAGCCCGCCCAGCGGAGGGGAGCGGCACGCCCCCGTGGCAGGGCAATGCCGCCCAGGAGGAGGCCTGCCGCCGTCGCCCGTCGGCTCGCCCCCCTCGGCCCTTGTGCGGTGCGCTCTCTCTGAGGGAGACACGGCGATGGCGGCAGGGGTGTTGCTGTGCTTCGACGGGCTCCTGCGCCCAGCGGAGGCCATGCTGACAACCTGGCAATGCACTTTTGATTTAGAGTGTGGCGTCGTGCACCTCAACCTCGGGTACACTAAAGGAGATCAGAGATCAGGCGCGGCCGAGCATGTCGTCGTAGACGAGCTCGAGGCAGTTGTGCACTTTGCTGGACGCCCTGCTGCTGGTGCCCAGCTTCTCCCCCGCAGGACTGGCGGCTTTCGCCGTGCCTTCAGAAAGTTGGCCACCCGCATCGGTGCTGACCCTGGCAGATACAAGCCGTATTCTCTACGCCGGGGAGGAGCCACCCACCTCTTCAAAATCCTGGAAGTCTCTCCAAGACATGTATTCGCGGCCGCTGGAGGCACCAGCCCACGGCTCGCACATGCATCCAGGGCGGCGCGGCCATGCCGGAGCGCCGCGGCCTCAGTGCAAAGGGGCGGAGGTTGATAGCGAAGGGTAAGTCCTTGCTACGCCGTCGTCTCTGATGCCCGAGCCCTCGGCCCTCGGGCGCCCATCAGCTCCGCCAGTTCAGCGGCGCGTGGACTTCGCGCGCGCTGGGGGAGCATGGAAGGGCGCGTGCCTGAGAAGCAGCGGCCAGCCTCGCTTTAGGGCGCCCTGCTCCAGGCAGACCCATCCGCCTCCTGCGCCCAAGGTGGTGCCCCCGACAGGCGTCGGAAGGAGGCCAGGGCGGTTCGCCTGGGGCGTATTCTTGCGCCCGGATTCCGAGAGGCCCGCCGCGGCGTCGCCGCGGTGCTGGCTGCCGCGCGGCCTTGTACAAGGCGCGCGGCTTGCCTCTCTTAGGGGCGAGGAGAAGATGGGGATGAGCACTAAATATGGTTCACCTTGGGATGTGTGTTTATTTATTTGTATATCCCTGGGCCCCTTCGGGGTCATCGGGGGCAATAGGCTCAGGGGGGGATGCATCGACCCCATTCACCCATTGGTCGCTGGCAGGGGCCCGGTAGTCCTACTCCGCCCAGGAGCGTCCAGATTTGCTATCGTGGGCAGTCGCTGATCTATCGGCACTACATCGCTGATTCTAGCTTGAGTAGGTCCCCCTGTCGTTTCTCCTCACGTCGTCGTCGCTCGCAGGCGACTTCCTGCCCATAGTCCCCGAGCTCAGGCCGCCCATTACACCCTCGCGGGAGAGGGCGCTGCTGTTCGGACGCGCGCCCCTTGCCGAGGGTGAAGGCCCTTCCCTGGTACACCGTCAAAACGCGGAAAAGACCACGTTGAGCTCAGGAGGGGCTCTGGTTTCTGGCCATTCCCTGCCTCTATGCCAGAGAGCCGTTTCGACGTCGGGTTCGCCGTGGCCAGAGGAGCCCTTCCGTTCCCAATTAAGCGCTCCTTGTGGTAGCACGATGGCTCAATCCCCGAGCTGGGCCCTGGACTGTACGGTTTGGGTCGCCGTGCCCCCAGGTAGTCGCCGTCGCCGTCGGCGCCGTCGCCACCAGGGAGAGACAGAGAGCTGTCCCCGCCGGGGACGAGGGTCGTCGTCACTGAGACGAGAAGGGTTCGAGCAGGGGGTCGATTACATAATTTATTTACCCCAAACTTGATTTTCTCGTCGACGGGTCGCAAACATGTGGAGCATTGCGCTTTAACGGAGGGTCCATATCGGGGTAGAGCAATTCTGTAGTCGATTCCCCGCTCGAACGAGGAGGAGGTGCCGATCCCGCTGCCCCGTCCATCGTCGCCACGGCTCGATTAGGTGCGCACCCATGGAGAGGTGCGGGGAGTGGTAGTGTCGGTACCTTCTGTCGCCCCAGTCACTGCCGCCGAGGTCGTCGTTGTCGTTTTGGGGGGGGGACGTCGTCGCCTTGCGGGATAATCAAAAACACATCGCCGCCGACCCTGGGCATCGGTCGCAATGGCTTGATTTGATATTGGGCATAGCGCCATCGAGAGGCCTGGTCGGAGGTCGGGGGGTGAGGTCGCAGCGGAACGGAGACCCCCCACCGGGAAATCGGTTTCGGTTTCCTGTTCGTGTCGTGCGGGCGAGGCGAAGCTGCGTGAGCGCGCGATAGGAACGATGCCGCCGTTGCTAGGGGCTGTGGAGCCGGTTGTTCGCCCCCCCCCCCGGCGCGCGGTGGCAGGGGGTGTCGACGGTGCCTCAGGGTGTCCCGCCGTGTTGTCTCGATGGTAGCTCGTTTGATCAGTTGTGAAATCGATTCCGTGATCGATCGTGAATGTGAGATTTATCGTGGGATCGATCACAACAGAAATTTGGTTTGGGGTACCCTTGCGTGGCTGGGGGTGCCCAAACGTGGTGTTCCGATGGTGTCTCGTGAGATCTCTTATGAAGTCGATAGTGAGATCTCTTGTGGAAACCGATAGTGAGAACGATAGTGCGATCGATATCGATTGCGGTAGTGAGATCGATGGTGAGATCGATTTTGACACTCGGGAGATCCATGGTGAGATCGACACTGAGATCGATGGTGAGATCGACAGTGGTTTCGGTTTCCTCCCTCTCCCTCAACCTCCTTCTCACCTGAAGGGTGGTTGTACGTAGTCCGTATGTCACGGTGATACTGTCTGTCGTATTGGCACCAGGGGCCAAGGACAGTCTACGTATTGCGGCCTGGTTCGCCACGCCGCGACACCCACAGGATCGTGAAGTCGGCTTGCCCGTGGAGTTTTTGAATGTTGATTGAAGGTTCGGCACCGTCTCACCCCGACCCGGATCAGGCTTCGGCGCTGCCGAGCGGGTGCGGGCTGCCGCTCGCACGGAGCCTCGTCGCCGCCATCGCTGCAGCTGTGTGCAGCTGGCTGTGACGCGTCGCCTCCTGGGGCCCGGGTGCGCCAGCCATGGTGGCCGCGCGCCCAGGCAGCCCAGCGCCGGGGGGCGCCGACGGCAGACCCGCGGCACCCGCTGCGCCGGTATCCGGCCTGGCCGGCGGGGCCCGGGAGCGGCGGGCGGGCCTCGCCCCGTGCCTCCCCGAGTGGGGCCGGAGTGGGCGGGGTCGCAGGATCGCGCCGCATCGGCGATGCGGCGCCCTGACGTGGAGCCCCATGTGCTCCACGCCGACGTCGCCGATGCATCGCCGGCGCATCGCCGACGCATCGCCGATGCATCGGTGATGAATCGACGACGCATGCAGTCAAGTCGCACAGTGAGGATGAGCAATTTTCCAAGGCTGCCCTTGCATCCTTGCGTCTTCGGTCCATTCTTAGAGACTTCCGTTGGCTAGCCCCGTTCGAAACCGCCAACATGACCCTCCAAGGCCCTTGCATCCTTACCGCGCATCCTGATTATGCGACTTGACTGCACTCTGTGATTTGGCGGCGCACCCAGGGGGGGAAGTGAGAAGGGGCGGGCCTTTTCAAGAGGCTCGGAAGTCCCCTAGGCTTCTGAGACGTTTCCTAAGTCTCCCTGAAGACACGGAAAACTTCTCAGAAGGCCTGAGCGTCTATGAGAAGCCCCGCCGCTTTCTGAGAGGGCCTTCTCCTTCTCACTTCCCTCCTCGCTCGCCGCCGATGCGACTCGATCGTACTGTGGTGATAGAATCGGTGAATCGATGATGGACCTGCGTCGGTGTGCAATCGGCGCCCCCCTCCTCCGTCGGCTGCACGTGAGAGACCAGCCCCTCGCCTCGCCAGAGAGCCACCCTTGCTGCGCGGCTTTCGGGGCGGGGGGGCTTTCGGGAGGGGGGGGGGGAAGGGGCACAACCAAGCTCGCGGGCGGCCCGGCTGGCGCGGCCCTGAGCGACCGAGAACCAGAAGGGGGCCAGAAGGAAACGGGCCCCGAGGTTTTTCGCCGTTTTCGGAGGCCCTCGGGGCCCTCTCCGGACCCCGGGACTGTCAGGAATCGACTCAAGATGAAGATCTCGTCATGGGGAAGGCTAGAGTCGGCGGGGCGCCGCGGGGGGAGTGCTAGAGTCGAGGATGAGTCGTAGGTCGACCCTGCCAACTCAAGGGCACCCTTATGCCATGTGTTTCGCGACCCATGCCTTCTACATTCCTATGGCAATGTATGTGGCCCTCGAAAGGGTCTTCTGTCCTCTCGCGTGTTCTCTCCAATCGATCCCGACTGTACAGCATCGCATGTATCGACCGGCGAGCCGTGCACGAAAGGTCACTCTTTGGGGCCCAGTTCGATCAGATCGAGCCGAGTCGATGTCAAGTTCAAGGGCCCCCAGGGGCCGAAAGTAGCGACAACCCTCCCGTCGCGATTCTTGTCACAACGTGAGGGGGTGTCTGGGTCTCCAGGGGCCGTCCAGGGCGATGTCCCCCCAACCCCGCCTCTGCCCCAAGCCCGCCTGAGCGACGCAAGAAGACGAGGTCGTCTTCGCCGACATTGGCGCGCAAGATGGCCGCGTAAGGGCGCGGGTGAGCGCCCTCGTCTTCAATGCAGCGCGCCGCGCCGGCGGCCCCCATCAGCTGCGCCGTAAGGTCGCTGTGTCAGCTCATGTACGACCGAGTTTGACCGTCGCTCACCAATGGGAGGCGATACTCCTTCGACACTTCGCAAGCGCGTCTGCCAAACACTGCTTCGAGCTTCGATACGTTTCCTGGGTGCTCGGGATTATGTCTGGAATGTCGTCTTTCAGTACGATGGGAGCAATCGCTCATCCAATGAAAAGCAAATCCTGGGGAGGCTTGTCCAAGGGAGGTTGTCTGGAGGGCGGGGGGTCCAGATCCTCGCGGGGATGTCCGCGGGGTTGGTCAAAGGTTGTCCTTTTGGTATGCATGCATTTTGGAGGGGTTGTCTGGGTTGGCCAGGGGGTTGTCCAGGGATCTTTCGGGAGAGTGAGATTTCTTGGGATAGCATGATCTCTTGGGATAGTACGAGTTTTTGAGATCGTAAGGTTTGGGGGTGCCACGTTTTTGCCCACTGAGCACCGCAACCCGAAACCCGCCCTCTGCGCACCCCCCGGGGGGAGGGGGGGCCCGGGCTGGCCGCTCTTGCGCGCAGCCGACGCGCCAGCGAGCGCCGCCCCGCGCGGCCCGCGGCGGGCGCTCGCCGCGGCCGCCCGCCTCTCCGCGGCCGCCGCGGGCCTGTGGCTGCTCCGCCCGGGGGCGTCCGGGGAGGGGGGGGCTCGCCGCAGGCACGCGCCAACTCCTTGGCATCGCCTCCTCCTCCTCCTACTCCTCCTCCTCCTCCAGCCCCTTGGCTCTGCAGCACAGCAGCGGGGCGTTCTCTGTACAATGTAGCTCACTTATCACCTTCTATGTTTGTTCTTGTCCCCTTGCAGTGAAGGGCTGGTGGCCACTCGTGCAATGCTCCCTCTGGTCGCAGGCAGCTACAACCCCCTCCGCGCCAACAGCGAGGATCGGTTGGAGGAGATATGCCGTCGCACTTCATCGTTCGACGTGCTGACGCTGATCGGCACCAAGGTGAAGGCGGCGGCTGGTGCCCCAGTGAGGCGCCGCCAGGTGGCCATGCCTTTGAAGCAGGCTTCCAGAACCGTCATTGAAGCTGGATATAAAGTTGGACCATATGTAACTAGTTATGCTGGTGTCTCGGTCGTCCTTGGACCTCGCTTTCGGGATTCGCATGTCGTTCGAGTGGCTACCCCACCTGTCGAGCTTCAGGGTCGAGGACTCCTGGTTCGTTTCAAGACGGGGCGGGCTCTGGGATATTAGTTGTATGGCACTCTACTATCCTCCTCGGCCTCGAGATCTTGCCTCGATGGCTGGTTACCAGACTACGTGTGATCGGCTGGCTCACTGCATGGTGCGCTAGTCAGCTGGCTGCCCTCCCTGCACGGAGGACGCCAGTTATAGGAATGGATTTGAACGACGGACTCGGTCTTGTCCATCTTGCGGGTAGGGGATGGGTATATGATGATAAGCATGTTGTTCCTCATACCTATGCTAGTCAAGCACATTATGCTGGTATTGCACTGGGGGAGGTATTGTGGTTACATAATATGTGCGCTGCGAACTGTGCCCGCGAACGCGTCCCTACTTTTTATGGGCCAGCTGGTAGCACCAGTACTATCGACTGTATTTGCTTGCCGCGCCCTCTGGTGGAATGCATGTCTCACAGCAGTCCGTTGAGGAGGGTCAGCCGAGAGCTACAGATCATCCCCGCTGCAAGGCCGGTTGATCACCTGTTGATCATGGTCAAGACGTTATATACACCTTCTGTCTCTCCTGTTGCGGCACGTGCACGCCCTCTGAAATGGGATCGTGATCTGATTATGAGGTGTCTGCGGCGTGGCGAACGCCGTGCCGAATTTGTTCGCGCGCTTCACCTTCGCCTTGAGTCTCAAGAGAATGATCTCACCGCTCTGCTCGATCGCTCCACTGCTGACGAGTTTTTTGAGGGGGTGAATCAGCTTTTGATGGAGGTGGGGCAGGAGGTCTTTAGTAGCAGTGAGACTGAACAGCAGCGGGCGTATCGACTAGAACGGGAGCAGTTGCTGGAACAACGGAGACAGCTCCGACTACTGCTGCCTGAAGTTGACCCGACTTATGTTGAGCAGGTGCAGAGTCGACTTCGGGATGTCTCTCGGCTTCATCGCCTCTTTCGTCGCCGTGCTATGGAGGAGTGGAGGGAGGCTTTACTGGAGGAGCTTCGGGAGCACTGGCGCCATCGTCGTCTTGCTGAGGCTTCTCGCTTGGCTCGTCGGGCTGCTGGATCTCGATTCGGTCCAAAGCGACGCGGCTATGCTTCGATTCGTGGAACCGTCGTCGACTCTGTTGCCCTGCGCGAGCTTTTCAGTTTACCAGGCTCTCAAGGCGGCATGGCCGCCCAGGTCGCGGAGGACAGGTCCACCTGGCGTGCGCAGTGGATCTCGCGTGCGCAGCCCAGCGTTGGCCTCTCTGAGGAAGATTTACAGCGCGGTCGGCGCGATCTTCGTGCCATTCTGCGCCGGCTACAAGTGGCTGGCAAACGACGTGCTGCACCAGAGTGGTCGCCCCCGCTTGAGATGTGGTGGTTGGCACTTCCCCCTCGGAAGAATTTATCTCAGATGCCCACGGGGTTGGGTGCTGAACTATGTCCGCACTCTCTGGAGAATTTTCGAGATCTTATTATTCTGGGCCTGGCAAAAATCCATAGTTGCGGGCAGATCCCGATCTTTTGGAATCGTAGTCGTGGTGCTCCCCTTTCCCGTCCTGATGGAAAAACACGGTGGATTCACCTTCTGGACCCGTTCGGCAAAGCCTGGACCTCGGGGGTGATGGCCCAGCGCGGCCCGCCTCAGGGCACTGATCAGGATCATGGGTTTTTACGTCACCGTCGTCGTGAGTGCGCGTTCATGATCCAGGGGGTCACTGGGGAGTGGCTTAAGAGGCGAGGCTACGTCTTTCTCACGAATGCTCATGACTTGACGAATGCTTTTGCCAGCAGTGCACGTCCATGCATGGAGCGTGCTATCAAGGATTTATTTTTGGAGTCGGCCGTGCAGCACGGCTACCAGCGCGTGCGCAGCGCAGTTGTCACTCTGCGGGGTCATGATACTGATCTTCATCTCTCGCCTCAGAGTGGGGGTCTTATGGGGGATGAGTTCGCGGTGAACACGTTTCTTCGTACGTTCGTTCCTCCTGTCCAGAAGTGGCTCGATGCCCATCTTCGCTTTGACCCGCAGGCGACTGTGCTGTGCTCTCGTTTGCCTACTCTTGTCGATGGCCGTCTTGAATTCAGTGCTGAGCACATCGACTGCTCGCTTACCACGCATGCGGATGATCTCACCAAAAAGCTTGTGCTACCTCGCGGGGCGGAGCCTCGTGATCTGGTTCGTCTCAGCACCCTGTCGAACGCTGCGCTGGACGAGTACCTAGCAGAGGTGGGCTTCTCTCAGAACCTAACTAAACAAGATGCGCTACTTCATGTGCAAGGTCAGGGCTCGGCTCATTTTCTTCGGGATCTTAAGTCTGGACAGTTGGTTTTCCCTGGGAAAGCGGCGCAGGCTGCTAAGAGTTTTGGGGCCTGGATGTCTAGTGCTCCTACCAGTTTTGAGACTGAGCTTACATCTCGTATCAGTGCGGTTCGGCAGGCGTGGTATCAGATGGGTGGATTCTGGACTTTTCGGGGTCTCCCTCATCTTCTTCGGCGCTTTCTTCTAATCTCCAAAATCTACATCATGGCTCTCCCTGGGGTGGAGGCTTTTCTTCCGAGCGTGCAGCAGGTTACTCGTTTGCAGAATGTGGTATCACAGTATGCTCGCAAGGCTATGCTTGGTCAAGCTGTGGACTGGACGTCTCCAGCTCATCCTAAATCCTTGTCCTCGGAAGCTGTACTTAGATGGTGGCGTCTCGTTTCCCTGGAGCTCGAGATTCGTATTCGTCGTCTTCGTCTCTGGCAAAGTGTCGCTAAGGTCCCTGGAGCCCACCGTCAACTACTCGCTTGTTTATTCGGGTCTTTCGGATCGGATGCATATCATGTGAGTCTGTCTGGAAGGCTGGAGGGGGAGCTCTCGCCGTGGACCGTACGTATGCGCGCTGACATTGATAGTCTTGCTACAATGGATGAAGGGGCATTGCTGCTTGAGCGGCTGGAGGGCTGCTATTTCTATCTCTTCGCCGAGCCTACATGGGCTGAGGAGTTTTGCGCGATCGATGTTCGACAACTTCGCGCTGCTGCTCTGTCTGTAAATGTTCCTCCTTCTGGTGTGTCTTCTACTCCTAATGTGCCTGCAGTGGGGGGAGAAGTGGAGGTGGAGGCTACGTATACCTGTATGATTGTAAATGAGTCTGGGGAGGCTTGTGGAAGAGCTTTACCTGATCGAAGAGCTTTGCGTAACCATCTTGTTAGTCATCATGGATTTCGTGCCCTGGCCAACGTAGTTACAGCGACTAATCAGTGCTGTGTATGTCTGTCTACCTTTGCTCATCTTGAAAGCGCCCGACGGCACTTAGCTAAGAGTATGGTCCGAGGCAGATGCAATAGGGATAGCACTCGTAACTTGGCCAAGGCTTGTATTCCATCGTCACTGGCTTGTCCTCTGTGCTCTTTCTCGGCAGGCGTTTTGGCCGAGCTTCAGGTGCATCTACGGTCTCACCTTGATCCTTTACCTTCTCATCCTGATGGAGGCCACGCCGGCGTGGATGCTGGCCGCTGCCCCGGCCGCGGCGGAGAGCGCCGAGCAGCCGCGGCACAAGCGTGGGCGCACAGAGGAGCTCGTGCCCCAGGCGATGGCGGAGGGCAAAGGCGGCGGCGGCACTCTCAAGGCGCTCGTTATGATCTTGGCGAGGCTGTCCCTCGGCAACGCGGCCGAGCTGCGGGAGCTCTGCGGCGTGGTGTTCATCGCCTACTTACTGGGCGCAGACCACGCCGTGGTGCAGGCCGCCAAGCAGGCTGGCGTTCACTACCACCAGGAGGCCAAGCGGCGCAAGGCCGCCAACGACGCCATTCCCATGGGCCCGCCATTCGCGCAGGTGTGGGTTGCGCTCGTTCGCAGTATCGGCACGCAGGCGGGTCTTGTGCCCGAGGCCCAGCAGGCACTCCAGACCTACTGGAACGACTTCATCTTGAAGAACGACATCGACACGGTGGCAACCAGTGTCCGAGCCTGCAGGCTACGCCCGACGCGGAGGCAGGAGGGGAAACCCAACCTCATGCGCTTCACCTTCGCGGTCGACCACCAGTTTCGCGACCTAGAGGTTGCGCTGCTGAAGTACCTGTCCTCGATCGGGGGGATCCGCAAGTATGGAGCGGCCCCCAAGGGGGCCCTCGATAGAGACGCCCAGAGGTTGCTCGACAAGATGGAGGGCAAACAGCAGTAGACGGGTGCTCTGGTGTCTCAGCACTTGATGACAGGATTCAATATCTTCTGGCGGCAGCTCGGTCTAACAGGGTTGCACTATTGAGTGCAGGACCTGCTTTTACATATTCTGGTCACGAGAGTGGCGCGCATGGAGGGACTGCTGTTTGTAGTGGTGTATGTGTGCCTGGGGATTCTCATGACGTAGAGCAGTCTCTAAATGCAGGTGGCAGTGTTGGTACTACCTTATCTTTGCCTATGACGACTAGTGTGGGCCGTCTTGCAGCTACTACGGGGTCTTCTCGGAGGCCCCTCACGACGACGGTACCATCGACGATCTCATCTCGATCTGAGCCCGTAGTAATTCACGATAGTGCGCAGTCTCTCGGGGTCCGTCCTGGGTCCTCGGCCTCGGCCCTCGGTCGATTCGAGGCCCCTCGATCTCTTCCCTCCGTCGCCGCTCTCCTCCTCCTCCGCCCGCTTTTCGTGGTAGTGAGCGATTTCTAGAACTACAGCGTCGTGGTGCACTCCCCTCTCCTGCCTTGGGATCCTCGGGGCAGGGGCCTGGAGCTGTCTCTGTGGTGGCGCGTTCGGCCACGTCGAATCTCTTTGCTTTAAGGGGGAGTGCCCATGATGCTAAGTCTACCTTTGTAGCTCAGGCCCGCGCGAAGCCCGTGGGTCGGAGGCCGCGGGGAATGGGCTCGAGGGGGCCTGCCTAGTGTCCTCTGAGGGGCTCTGTTGTGTGAAGGGGTGGTGCCATGAGTCGCCCACTGGATACTTCCTCCATGAGGGTCGTCTCTAGGCTAGTGCGTTTTCCCCGCCAACAGGGCCTTTCATGTGGGAAGTATGCTCTTGCAGCACTTAGATCCAAACAATTTAGTCTCGTAGCTAAGGAGAGACATTGGGTCCCAGAGTTTTTTGCGTTGCTTGCTCCTCCTCCTCCTCCTTCTCCTCCTCCTCCTCCTCCTCCTTCTCCTCCTTCCCCCCTCCTCCTCCTCCTCCTCCTCCTCCTCCTCCACTTCCCGAAATGGGCACGGAAAGAATGGGCACAATGCCCAACAGCAGTTCTTGTTTATTCTGAGCAGGATTCGTTGTCCACGCCGCCGCGGCACGTGCCCATTTGAGACAGAAGGCCGCCTGCCCAACAGCGGCCGCTGCTGGTTCGAGACAACATTTGCTGTTGGGCATTGTGCTCATTGTTTCCGTGCCCATTTCTGGCGTCCAAACCAACGGCGGTGTGGGTACGGCATGCTCGCGTCATCTCGACCGACGGCGACCCTGCTGCCCGTTCGGCGTTGAGCGCCGCCGGCGACCCAGAAGCGGTCGATGCTGAACGATCTGACGTTTCGGTGCACGGCCGATCGTTCCAGGTTGAACGATCCCCGCGGTGTCAGAGACCAGCGCCCAAGTCGGCACGATACGAACTTGCCCTACGTTCGGACCGAAGTATGGGATCAAGATCGGTTCAGGGAGGGTGCCCCAGAGTCAGGTCGGGCATGTCCTCCTACAGGCGCACTTTAGAAGAAACAGGAAGCATAGTTTTAAACATCTTCAAGCATAATCAAACATTGTCGAACAATCGTCTCCAGATGTTTTGAATTTTCTTGAGTATTCCTCCTGTCGAGGGACACACCCGACATAGAGTGTGCTTCGGCTTTTGTTGGACGTGCATGTGCATCCTGGGGAGGGTATCCTCGGATGTTCTGTCTGTTTTGGCCGACGGAGGATCTCATGTGCTTAAGGGGTGTTCCTCTGGCCGAGGTCCGACTATAACGGTGATGTAGGTTTCAGTATTGTAGGTTGGGTGGTTCGTGGCCAAGTCCATTGTAAGGTTTACTTTTGCTCTCCTGCAATTTGCTCTGCGCGAGTTTGGCGTCGCAAGAACCATATTCCCAAGATCGCCGTTAACCAACATCGCCATTAGCGTGGCCTTGGACTCAGTCAGTCAGTCAACCCAGGCGCCAGGCAGCGGCGCATCGGCAGGGAAACGAGAAGACCACGACAGGCTCATAGGTTCCAGAGAACCAAAATGGCAAGACAATGCGACAATGCTGCGGGCCTTCTCTCGTAAAGAGGGTAGGCTCGAAGGATGCCAAGTCCATACCAGGTAAGTCTCAGAGAAGGAGAGGTACCGATACCGATATCCTCGCCTCGTTTTCGCCTTCGGGACCTCCTGGGACGCCCTCGTGTACCCTGGGAGAAGTCCAGGGAGTACCAGTATCCAGTATCGGTACCTCTTGGTTTCCCCCAAATCCGTACGGGGTAAGTCGCCAAGGAGTGCTCGGTCCCCGTCTGGGCTTACTCCGTTTGGACTTGGCCTGTCCTGACAGGAAGTCCGTGCGGAGTAAGTACGCACGGAGTGCTCGGCTTCCGTCTGGGCTTCTTCAGTCTGGACTCAGCCTCTCCTGGGGAGTCGAGGACTCGGTGGGGGTCTGCTGGTCTTCGGTCCCTGGCGGCCGTTCGAGACGATATCCGGGCACGCCTGGCGGCCGTTCGAGACGATATCTGGGCACGCCTGGAGGGCCCTCGGCGAGGCGCAGCTGCCGGAGAGCACCGAAGCGAGGAAACTCCGGGATGCGATCTGACCAGAGCCAGCGCCAGTAACATATCCGCTATGTTGTTCGATGTTTGTCCATCATATAGCTGCAAATATCTGGGAAGCGTAAGACTCGAGTAAGCCGGAACTCGGGTTTGCCGACATTTTTTGACGAGCGCTTCCTGGATTTTGACGGTCCAGTTTTCGTGGGATGTTTGCAGCGGGAGTTCGCGTCAAATTTCAGATTGGGCCTCGTCATTTTTATGGTGGCCCCGTCAGGCCAACCCGAGTCCCCCGTACCCGAGTCTTATGTCTCCCCGAAAATAGCGGCCCACACACAGCGTGTATATCTTTTTCCAGCACCCGTCGCCCTAGCGGCCAGACAAGTGTACTCTGCAAGTTGCCTTGTGGCGTTTCTGCGAAGCCCCCATGGGACAGGGCCCAGATACCCGTGTACTCACGCGGCTTCCACGGTCGGTTTTCGGTCCGTACCTCGGGCCTCTGGCGGCCATTCGAGACGATATCGGGTACGGCCGGAAGGCCGTCGGCGAGGCGCAGCTGCTGGAGAGCGCCGAAGCGAGGAAGCCCTGGCGCGCGATGCCTCGCCGTGCCCACGAGGCGGCCCAGAGGCGGCCCAGAGTAACGCGCGCCGCAGCTCCGAGGAGCCCCGAGGCGGATCCAGCCGTGGCCGCGAGGAGGCCCAGAGACGGCGCACAGTGACGCGCCAGGGCCTCGGCCCCGCGAGCCCCCCCCCGCGGCTCGCTCGGCTGCAGGCGTCCTTTTTGCGTCCTGAGCCCCGGCTGGCACCTCAGGACCTTGGTGCCACACGTGATCAGACAGACGATGTCCTGGTCGTCGTTTTCTTATTCATTGGTTTGCCGATCGGCGCGGGCCCTCGTACCCCCCCCCCCTTGGAGTAGATCTTGGCTGTTTTTTGGCGCATGTTTCGAGCAGGCGGAGTCTCCCCCATAGGACGCACTGCTGCAAACAGCCGCACTAAGCAGAGGTCCGGAGCCAGACCCCCCCCCGCCCCCCCTTTCGGCCCAAGGTCGAAACGCCGAATAAGAAGACGCTCACTTGATTTTTCCAAAGTGGAAGCCCATGCCAAGGAACACCCAGATTGCGTCCAGGGTGCCCTGGGTTTCTTGGGTTTCGATGGTTTCGCTATGGAACGCGTGACGCTCCCACACCAAAAATGAATGGTCGCCCTGGGGTCTCAGGGTTGGGTTCCTTGTGGAAGGTTTCTTGTAGTCGAGCTCCTGCAAGTGCCGACCAGGACTCGTATTTCTGAGTGGCGGTCGGTTTTCACGGGTGGGGGCGGGGGGCAGCCCCAAGGCTTGTAAGACAACGATGGCCACATTTCACCGGTGAGAACCGACGACCGCGTTGACAGGTTCCGGGTCGGGGGCCGGTTCTTCGTGCAAGACTATGATATAGAAATTACCTGGGGTTGTGTGCACGCGGCGGCGCCCGGGATGATGATTAAGAAAACCGGCCTTGGGCCAGGAAACTATGTTTTAAATTGTACACCCCGGCTTTCCTCGTGCGCGCGCCTGGACGGTGGACGGGCCAGGCGGAGCCGAAGTGGAGCCGAAGCCGAAGGTTCGGAAAATATTTCGTTAACCGTTGCTCCCATGTTGCATGATTCGTCGTCACCTTACAGTGCATGTGGGGCTGTCTTGCGCTTTCCTCACAAGGGGCCCCCGCGAAGGTCCCGACCGCTTCCCCAAGGCAATGTTGACGGCCCACGGGGCCGCCAGAGTCCGAGGATGGCGAGAAAAATCCCGCCGCGGTTCCTTAACAGCGTTTCGCTCGAGGTTTTTACATATCAGTAATATCGGGGAAGAAAGAAGGAGACCATGACCAAGATGTCACGGGAGTTGTCGATGCCGATCCTGGTCAAGGTCCATGTCTGCCGTTGCCGATTCGCGAGGATGATCCACGAATTGACGCTGACCAGGATCGACGGTGACCAAGATCGACACGACGTTTCCACCAGGCGCGTGACTCGAACTGTGTTTCGTGTTTTGCTGTGTTCCCTCTCTCTCTCGCTCTCTCCTCCCCCCGCTCCTCTGTTCTGTCGGCCTGTTCCTTCGCATGGCGGAGTCACAAATCCATCAGTTCGGAAGCTGGCAATGTTCTTCATCGGGCCACCATGCGTACAGAGGACGAATGTCTGGGCCTCCTTGATGGGGTCGGCGTAGATGGGGTCGGAGGATCGTGCCGCATCGCCGATGCATCGGCGATACAGCGGCGATGCGGCTCGGTGTGGGGCCCAACTTCCCCCACGCCGACGTCGCCGATGCATCGCCGACGTCGCCGATGCATCGCCACTGCATCGCCGATACATCGGCGATGCATCGGCGATGCGGCGCGATCCTCCGACCCCATCTGCTCCTCGACGCGGACTCCATCTAGGAGGCCTTTAGACAGGATGATTACAGTCGAGTTTGATTAGCGGGTCGACCCTTCCAGCAAGCGATGCGGCGCGATCTTCCGGCCCCATCTGTTCCTCTACGCGGACTCCATCTTGGAGGCCTCTAGACAGGATAACTACAGTCGAGTTTGATTAGCGGGTCGACCCGTCCAGCAAGCAGGGGTGCCCTTGTCGTGGGCGCCCCGGGCGGCAGCGGCTCCTGGGCTGAGCGAGGCTGGCGCCGCGCGCGGGCGCCCCCCCCGGCCCTCCCTTATCGGGAACTGGAGCATACACACTGCCGGTGGCAGGCTAGTTTTCAGTCCTAGGACTTTTTGAGGACCGGGGACGACGTCGGGGTGGTGTGGTGCACACTTTTGTCCCCCGATTTCCCAGGAAACAACGAAACATGTATACACCAGGATCCCGTATACACCAGGATCCGCCTTCCTGTGCGAATTTCGGTGCGGGACAGGAAAAAGCGTCGGTGTATGGAGTTCGACTCCTTACCTTATCCCCCTTCCTCCCCTTCCTCCCCTTCCCTCCCTCGCGCGCCCTCCTGTCGTTTTTCGTCCGTCGTCCGTCGTTCGTCTGTCTTCTGTCGTGACACAGGGCTCCTCGTGCCAGCAAAGAAGTGCCCCGTGCCCTTCGTCACACGTCTTCGGCGCTCCTGGGGCAGAGGCAGCCTGGTTTGGAGGCCAGGCTGCCCTCGGAAGAGCCTCGTGCCCTCTCGCGTGTAGCTTCCGTAACCAGGCTCGACTGTATCGAACTCCTCCTCGAGCTCCAGAAATGCCGCCGACACGCGACGCCATACGCAGGACACAAGGGTACCCCTTATTCGGAAGGGCCTACCTACTAACCAGACTCGCTTGCAAGCAGCCTTCTGCCAAGACCCCCAGGACCCCTCCAAGTCATCTCAGATCAGACTCACCGACCCCAGAAGTCAGACTATTTTTTTTATTGTGAACTCCGGAGTGCCGAACTCATCCCCTTACTGGGCGTTGCGAAATGGGGGGGGGGGGGAGCGAAAGAAGGGCGCACCTTCTGTGCCCCAAAGGGGTCCTTGAGGACCCCCCTGGAGCCCAAAAGGGGCACGACAGTGCACACTTCTCCCCTCCATTCGCCGCCGCCCCATAACAAAATCGGAGTTGATTGGAGAGGACGCGCGAGGGGACACGACCCTTCCGAGAGCCACACTGTCATAGGAATGTAGAAGGCATTTGCCGCGAAACACATGGCACAAGGGAACCCTTGATTCTTAGGCTTACGCCACACCGCCGACCCCCTGTTTATGCCAATCTGGGGGTAGTAGAAGCTGCGAAGGGGTGAAAAGGCGAGTGATATTTGTTTGGTGTCTGTTCGCCGCCACCGCCAGAGGGTCTCGGGCAGTTCCGCGGGGAGGTCCGAGCGGACAGCGACACTGCGAGTTTTGGAGCCACTCGGGGGCCGTTTCGGAGCCTCTGGGGTGCTTCTTGGGGGTTCCTTGGGGCGTCTGGGCGGCCTCGTGAGGGCCTCTGGGGGCCTCTTGGGGCACTCTTGGGGCCCCCTGGGGCTCCTGGGGGCAGAAAGCTAGAGTTTCAACATGTTTGGTCGCCCTCTTGGGCCCCTCGTGGTGCCGTCTTGGAGCCCTCTTGGGCCGTCTTGGGGACCTCTTGGGCCGTGTTGGGGCCGTCTTGGGCCGTCTGGAGGCCGTCTTGGGGGCCTCTTGGGCCATCTTGGGGCTATCTTTGGGGCCTCTTTGCCCGTCTTGGAGCGTCGGGAAGCCGGAAAGGCGGAAAAGCAAAAAACATCGAAAAACACTCTGGAAAATCAGCAATTTTTGACTCTTTGGGCCCTCTTGGGAGGCTCATTTGGGACCTCAGGGGCCGTCTTGGAGACCTCTTGGCCCGTCTTGGGGCCATCGTGGGCGTCTTGGAGCGGTCGTTTGGCTTCTCGGAGCCTTCGTGGGCCGTCTTGGAGGCCTCTTGGGGGCTTCGTGGCCCGTCTTGAAGCCCTCTTGGGCCAGGAAAAGCCCCGTGGAGCGCTCGTCCCGGACCCCCCCCCCCCCTCCAAATCGACCGGACC